ACTGTATTTCTGCAATAATCTCATAATCTCACAAATCGATCCTCTACACATTAGGGGGGGTTATTAAATTAATATATATGCAGCCAATCAAACTACAGTAACTACATACATTGAAAAGGTTCCTTATCTTATAGTACAGCAGGTTAGTCCACCAGGTATAACTAGGGTGTAGACACCAAATTATCCTCTTTGAGGTAGCTTCCATATCACCCAGTAACTGGTGCACAAATCTTCCTTCCTCGTCTTGACCTGTCAAAAGTGCGCTAGCTGTGAAGCCAGAATCCTATATATGACAAGTATTTCAGAGAAACTGTACATGGAACATTGAAGACCTGGCTTAATTACCTTTAGTTTGAGGCTTCCACGTGATCTAACCGGGTCACCCTATATCCTGACATTAATGGCCATAAATGAATGATAAACGGGTTTCGGATAGACTTAACTTGAATTGTAGACATCGTGTTGGAGATGGTACCTTTGGTTTCCATAACACTACGTCCAAGTAAAATTAACAGGAGCCGTATTTGCTCCCGTGTGCCTCTGGTCTCGTATAAACAATGGCTGTTTAACACTCCATACTATTGACGTTACTGGCCGACATTGTCCAGAATGATAGGAGCCGAATTTGCTCCACACGTCTCGGAGGTGACACAACAATGGCTCCCTCCTTCCTCCCTGACGCCTGGCCTACTTTGTCCAGATTTCAGAAAGTGATAGAAGGGTCACATTTACTCTACTTTAATATTGATAATTAAGTTAATTTATATAAGATGTTTTTATGATGGTAAAGTCCAAAGACTAATGTATTTAAGAATAATTCCCAGCAGAATAGCTGGTGAATTATAATAGTATGTGGTGATGATATCCCGTTTTCTATAGACGGTAATTCCACTACAAGTTACGTTTTCTATGGGTAACTTGTTTATACAATACAGCTATTATCTGTATGATTATTAAATGGTGTCGGATTTTCCGACACCCCCCCCCCCCCTACGCCCGTATCTCACCCCCTTCCTCATCTCATCCAAACCTCAAGAATATTAAATGTAGATATTATTTGGTGTTCTCTCCATTTTCATAACATATTCTCTGTAAGTTCAGTTCAGTACTTAGTCTTACATATTCTCTAGTTCTTTCCATGTTACATGAAACTTAAGCAACTATTACCGTGTATCCTATCATATTTTTGCCTGACTCATATGTAAATTCACAATTCCTCCTTCCTTCCTTCCATTACAAGTCCCCACATGTTCTCCGCGCATCTTGTTACTGCTGCTTAAAATCTTACAGGGTGTAAGAACAAACAGGTTCTCCGCTCATTTCACCATCCTTTCTTACAAGTTCCCTCAATCTTTTACATGTCCCAGCATATTCTCCGTGCATCTTGGTACCGACGCTTACAATCTCTCTCTCAAACCTTTACATGTCCCCACATATTCTCGGCTCATCTCACTACCCTTTCTTACCATTTTCCATCCCTCCTCTACCTGTTCTGACCCGTTCCTCACATTCCCTTACACGTTCTCCGTTCATCATGGTATTAATTCTTAAAACAATTGTTTCTGTCATTTAGTAAGTAATTCATTGTTATATTTATTATCAACAGCAACATTACTAATTTTCAACGAGTTACTATAAAGTATTTATTTAGTCTCCAACTATATTTTCAAACTTACGTCAATATTATTCATTCTAAGACATCTTCATGCATTTAAAGATACGTTCCGGTACACTATGTCATTACTTCCAGCATCTTTAAGGAATACCTTTTCATAACTCAGCATATTTAAAAAATACACCTTCAGTATGTATAAATACTGATGGTATGGGTAAATACTGGTTCAGTAACAGGGTTGTTGATTTGTGGAACCAATTGCCACGTAATATTGTGGAGGTGGGGTCCCTCGATTGTTTCAAGCGCGGGTTGGACAAGTATATGAGTGTGATTGGGTGGTTATAAATAGGAGCTGCCTCGTATGGGCCAATAGGCCTTCTGCAGTTGCCTTTGTTCTTATGTTCTTATGTTCTAGTAGTCAAAGGGAACTTTTCAACCCATATTTTATACAATATTCCCGTTAAGCTTACTAAGACATTTTATTATTCAGTGCCAATCAACTTTTAAGTAATATATCAAAGTAATCATACTTGTTTATAGTCCACAATGTAATAAGCAACTTATTCTGTTAAGGATAAAGAAATCTGATTTAGAAAAGATATCATGTTTATTTTATTACGCATTTAACATGTACAGTTATTCAAGAAATCATTAGAACTTATGCGATTAGGCCCATCAGAACTCCTGGCAGCTTAAACACGGCTGGCAAAATGTACCTGGAACCCTCGACACCTGAGCTGAAACTGGCCAAATTTACCTGGAAATCCTGGCGACATATGAGTCAATTTAAAAAAATCGAAAATTGACTCACTTATCGTCATCCCTACTACTTCACTCCAGTGTCTTAGTCAAGGAGCTCAGAGCCACTCCAGTGCCTTAGTCAAGGAACTCAGAGCCACTCCAGTGCCTTACTCAAGGAGCTCAGAGCCACTCCAGTGCCTTACTCAAGGAGCTCAGAGCCACTCCAGTGCCTTACTCAAGGAGCTCAGAGCCACTCCGGTGTCTTACTCAAGGAGCTCAGAGCCCCTCCAGTGCCTTACTCAAGGAGCTCAGAGCCACTCCGGTGTCTTACTCAAGGAGCTCAGAGCCCCTCCAGTGCCTTACTCAAGGAGCTCAGAGCCACTCCAGTGCCTTACTCAAGGAACTCAGAGCGCCTCTAATGCCTTACTCAATCAGAGGAGCCAAAGTACCTACTATCAGGAATTAGCAGCTAAGAAGTTTTCCTGTTCAGTAACCTAATTTATTTTAATTAAATTCTATGAATTCTCCCTTGTGATATGGTCACATTTGAGGGAGTCAGAATAAAACTTCACAGTTTGGGCCGATCAGGCTGTCGGTGCTGTCTGTTGCACTTTCCTGTCTGCCGTCATCTTCAGCTGACTGTAATGATTCTGACTTTCCGTTCCTGAACTGACATTTCTTGCGTCGTTTATCCTTGTCGACAGCTTCAACTCGTGCGCCAGCAATATTTTCCCCATTATAGCTGGTAGGCTTTGCATGAAAATCATTCCTTGTTTATTAGTTATTTTATCGAGGAGCTTTATAAATATGTTCAAAGCTGGCAGCTCATTGTTTCACAGCCAGAGGAAAAAGGCCAGCTTGCTGGCCTCTCAGTATTATCACCTGCAAATCTCAGTATTAGTACTCCACTCAGTATTATCACCTGCAAACATGTTGTTTACTTAAATTGTTTGTTGTAGTGACTACCATTTCTCTTGTTTACTTTTACGGATTGTCAATGTTTGTTTACTTGTTGTTAACTGGGAGTCAGGTTCAATTTCAATTATCGTTATTGATATAATAACGTACATAGCAAATGGATGCAGTAGCATAGGCTATTTCTATTCTCGTCCATTCCAGGTCCCTCAAGGGACTCACAAATCCATGCAGTACACAAATAATAATAATTTTATTCATTAGAATTACATATACATTAATTCAATAGTCATCACATAATACACATTGCTAAATTTTTACACGAATTTTAGTATCTATTTTTCAACCTATTAATGTTCCAAAACATTGTCCTCACTATTTTCTTCCATGAGGAGTTTTCAAACTCATAACTTTACCTTTTTTCTTCGTATTCACTGAGACCCAAAAGCCTCTCAGATCACAGACCCCTAACTATGTAACACACCTTCCTCAACTCTTGTGCATCTACTAACAACAAAGATAATGTTATTCTTAATATTTTTTCAACTTCTATTTTTTAAGACCGTTTTGCCTTAACTTTTGTTTCAATATTTTCCACCACAGAGGGTTGAACACTGCCACCACGTGAAGCCTAAGGTGGCAACAGGTAGCACTACAACGTATATATGCCAGTAATCTGGAGTTTTTCACCACAGTCATTTCTTCACAAGCGCTTGTTATGTGTGTGTGTGTGTGAGTGCGTTGATGGTCAGGTCTAATAGAGTCCACCCTCAATTTCATGGGATAAATCCGTCCTCTTAAAAATAACGTCGCTTTTCGCTCGTATGCGCGCTATGGCTAAAAATGAACGTAATTTGAAATGAAATCGGCTCACTAAAGTGACGTACTGTCCCATTTTCTGTTTAAGTCCTCCGGCTTACTCGGAAAGGTTAGGAGAGGGTACTTTCAATTAACGCTTTTATGAAGTTTTGAAACTTTAGGATAACTTCCTGCTCACCTAACCTACCAAAGGACCTTTAACTTACTGTTTTGGAAAAAAAAATCTAAAATTGATTTTATTTTCAAATTACGTCCATTTTCGCCCATACAGATAAACGGCCAAATTCTGACGTAATTTGTAAGAGGACAGGTTGGGTTAGGGCTGGTCCGGACCATGGGGAAGGCAGTGCAACACTCTATACATCTGCAACATGTTACTCTGCTTACTGATTTACTCCCATCATTACTGTTGCACGAGTCTAGTCTCCCTGAAGACAGATCCTTTACATGAATCTGTGGCGGTTAGAAGCCTAACCAGCTCGGTTATCATCCGAGTTTCAGGAAACTACTTTAATTACCTCCTCAGTGAAGTGCAAAGAAACAGTTTGCAGGGGGTCCACACTATCTCCAAGTGTCACTAATTCGGCCAGCACCACACTGACAGTAGCATCAGGGTCACATTCCTGGATAAAACCGTTATTGGCTGAGTGTTAGGCTTAGCGGTACTAGGATTCTAATAATTTTGTAGTTACTTGAATATATGTTGATCCCATTGATGTTACCAGCCTTTGTTGCTTGTTTCTGATGCTTGTCCCATCTGCATGTTATTTATTTATTTATTTATTTATTTATATACGAGAACGTACATTGGGTTTATGAGAGTACACAGCATTGAATGTTTTTACATTCTTGTAAAGCCACTAGCACGCACAGCGTTTTGGGCAGGTCCTTAATCTAACAGATAATTTAGGTAAATTCTAGCAAACTTTAGGTAACTTCGGTAAATTCTAGCAAAATTGAAAAAAAATTTACAGGTACATTGTAAGAAAATTTGTCAAAGATTAGTAGGTACATTTAAATAAAATAAAATTTGAGAGTTATCAACAGGTGTGTTTTAGCATAATTTGAGGATTATTTCAAGGTATAATGCCGTAAAATATGCATTAAATTTAACAACCATGATTAAGATGATAGCAATGATTACAATGGTGAAGTTGTATGGCTTAGGTACATTTATGGGGGCGGAGTGGGTAGCACTGGATACAGTGCGAGTTTAAAGAACTAAGTAGGAAACTATGGAGATGAAATTAGGTACTTTTTGGTTCTATTTTTGAATAAGGCAAACGTTGGACAGCATTTCAATTCGTTAGGGTGTGAGTTCCATAGACTAGGTCCCTTTATTTGCACAGAGTGTTTACACAGATTAAGATTTACTCTGGGGATATCAAAGATATATTTATTTCTGGTGTGGTGATTATAGGTTCTATTACATATGTCCATGTTGGTTGGTCATGGTAAATATTAGAGCAAGGAAAATATTTATCCATAGAGTTTGTTGTAGGAAACTCTAGACTCCACACTCTCCTTCCCTGAATATTGTTAATGGGTGTCTGACTCACTGCAAATGTCATACACTCTGTAGTAACATTAGAGGTCTGTTACAGACAGTTAACGGAGGGCGCAAATATCCTTGGCTCATACTTGATACCGTAGATCAACGGCAGCGGGCACCAAATTTTGTTCGAATCCTTCATCCTTGGCTTCTCTCGGAATCTTTGAAGAACATCAGACACATGCCAACGCTTTTAAAAATCACTGGCAGATGAAGCAACAGCACAACCTTCTCCCTGATATCGCCCCTGTGGGATGGGACAAGGAACCACGTCCCATGCCAAGGATAACTTGACTCTTCTTAGCAATACCAGGAGTTAGAATTGGCGGAAATAATCATTCGCCTAGAAAACTAAAATATGCTCAACTGTCTATGTGTTTTATATGGCAATGGATCTTTTTAATATAATGTGTGCCTGAATTTTAATATGGTGTTGGATATTTAATATAGTGTGTCTGTGTTTATGAGGCTATTATGCAACCTACTGCATGAATCTTCACTTTGGAGTAGGTCAATTAGTAAATAATAAAATGATACAATTATAAAATGGTAATGCCATATCTTCTCAGCTCCCATTGCTGAAGACCACGAGTGATCCAGCACCAATGACCTCACTTTGCCTTGTTGGTTTTGTTCCTGGATATATCACTAAGTCCTGTTGAGGTCCAGAATAAGAAGGAAGCAGCAAAGCAGACGAAGAGAGCAGTGTCGATGTTAGGGAGGGCGGTGATGGGCGAGGTGGAGGAGTAGGCTATGACGGCAGCACAGCGGGCAGCCTCTGCCACCGGCGCCCACAACCACCCATCATACATAGCTGACGTCACGCCCACAGTCGCATATATGAAGATCAAGCAAGTGAGGATCATCTCCCAGGAGCAGGTCTGAAGACGGATCATAATATATATATATATATTACTACATTAGCATTGGTATCAATATTGTCAAGTTTAGCTAACTAGTGGTGACTGGTCTTAGTTCAGTAAATTGTTAAGAGAGAGCCAGGGGACTACAAAAGAGACTAAACGACTTGTTAAATAACCTCTGAGCTGCGGCTTACACCAGCAAACATTTTCAACTGAATAAGATCATGATACTACTGACTTCCGCGAGAACTTTGACTAGTACAGTAATCCCCGTGGCATAGTGGTAAAGCACTCGCCCGGCACTTCGCGAGCGTTTTGGCCTGGATTCATATCCCTGGCCAGGGAGGATTGACTGGGTGCCAGTCCTTAATTGTAGCCTCTATTCACCCAACAGTGAATGGGTACCTAGTTGTTAAATGATATGATGGATAACATTCCTGGGAAAAAATGTGATTAAGGACCTGCAATGCGTGCTAGTGGCTAATAAGAATGTAAGCACTCTTGTATATATATATATATATATATATATATATATATATATATATATATATATATATATATATATATATATATATATATATATATATATAACAATATAACAATATTTATACATCAAAATACTTTAAATAAGTCGTTCACCTAACACAGCCTAACCGGAAATCAAACTGCCTTCAATCAGTTTACCCAGATTCTCTGAATCAGAGGATGAAAGTTGGGATAACTTATAGAATAAATTTGTTGACTCAGTGGATTCTAAACCCACTGTTCCTAAATCCACCAAATTTACTTATTTACAGGGTTAAGCAGGCGATGAGTCACAATAACGTGGCTAAGGTATGTTGACCAGACTACACACTAGAAGGTGAAGGGACGACGACGACGTTTCGGTCCATCCTGGACCATTCTCAAGTCGATTGTCAACAATCAACTTGAGAATGGTCCAGGACGGACTGAAACGTCGTCGTCCCTTCACCTTCTAGTGTGTGGTCTGGTTTACAGGGTTAACTTAATTAAGGAAGAAGCTTTAAAGATGGTGTCAAATTTAGTCTTAAATAGTGACAGCTATTATCTCGCAGTTCAGTTTCTTAAGGATAATTATGCTGACACAAAAAGAACTGTTACGCTCTTAGTCCAAAGGACTTACCATCCACGGATGAATCCGCAGACTCACTCCAAGCTTCTTTAGATTGGAGTTTGAGTCTATACTCTAAGCACTCAGCCTTAAGGTTGACTTAAATAGTGCGAATTGGTTAACCAAAGTTATTGTAAGGTGCAAATTACCAGTGAAACATTGGATAAGTTGTGTACCTTACATAACAAAACATTTCTGACTGTAACAGAGATTGCTGAAGTTTAGTGTTCTGTTGTAGAGAGACAACGAGCGAATACAGATGGTAAACCAATACCTAAACCTTTGTTAACCACCTACAATAAACCAACGAGTACTCACAGTGCTCCAGTAAAATCTAAACCATCTAATCCAATTCCAAGGTGGAAATATGGCAATATGGGTACATATGCAGTGAGTCCCTCCAAATCTACAGTCACTGTTTCATCCAAGGCAGTGACTACCAAAGGTGCTGTAGGATGGAGAGCATGTTTGTTCTGCCAAGAAAAACAGTAGATATACCACAGCCCATATTTCCCTGATCGTGCTACACATGTAAAACAATTCAAGGAGTTGCATAAATGCACGAGGTGTCTGAGGTCACATGACCCCATTACCTGCGCAACCCAACTACGCACTTGCAACAGGTACCATAAGGGTCAACACCATACAAGCCTAAGGTGAAGGTAGATACTTCTACCACTGTACAGTACTGCAAAGTACGTCAGGACATAAGTATCCTATCAACAAAGTCTGACAATAATGCAACTTTGCCCACTGCCCAACTAGTCATCAAAAACAAAAAGTCCAAGTTCACCACTCTTGGATTATTTGACCATGGATCCACCAAAAAATTTGTCAAGCAGAAGGTGGCAGATGATGCAAAGTTAAAACCTGTTTGACAAGTAAACTAAACATATCAGGGCTCCTGACAAACACAGGACCTCAAGACTACAAAGTGGTCCAACCACTAGTACGCTTGGGTGGTTATTCACGACCTGTCCAAGCCATAGTAGTTAACAAAATCCCATCTGACCTACATGTTCATGGTCTAGGGACAAGAGCCAAATTCCTACAAGAAAAAGGAATCAAGTTGGCTGATAATATAATCACGTCAGACCACTTCACTGACATTGGAATACTTGAAGGTGCAGACTATTACCACAAATTCATCACTGGAAGCACAAAACAGCAGGGACTGAACCTCTTACTGTCTGTGGGAGGCAAATTGCTCACTGGCCCAGTAAGTGGTCTAAGAAAGCCCACACCTGTTGACAGCAAACAAGTCAACCCAGTGATGGTTGCATGACTAGGCGAAGAAGAGTCACCACTTAAGTTCAGAAACTTGTCTGAAGATAAACTTGAACCACCTGGACATAAACTGTGGGATTTAGGCACTTTAGGCATAATCCATGAACAGCCTAGTCCAAATGATTAAAAAAAATACCTGGACTCAGTGATCTACAAAGATAATCAATACTGGGTCAGGCTACCTTGGAAGCTGAATCATCCTCAGCTTCCAGTAAATCATTCCATGGCACATAATAAATTAAGGTCTCAGGTGTTGTGCCTGCATAGACAACCTGAGAACCTGAAATTTTACCATGAAATAATCTAACAACAGCTCGATAACAAATTCATCAAAATTGTAAAGAATGATAACCCTAAGGAGGAACACTATTTGCCACACCATTCTGTACTGAAAGACTCAGTTACCACACCAGTAAGAATAGTGTTTAACTGCAGTGCTAAGGCCAAACAAAATAGTGTCTTGTTGAATGACTGCCTTCAAACAGGTCCAAGCCTAATATGGAGGCTATACGACGTGCTGTTAAAATTCCGCATAGGAACTTATGCATACATAACCGAAATAAGTAAGGCATTCCTTTGAAGCCTACAAGAAGAAGACTGTAACTACACAAAGTTCCTATGGATCAAGGATCCTAGCAATCCAAACAGTGAAGTAATCACAAACAGGTTTGCATCAATTTTGTTTGGTACTACTTCTTCACCGTTTCTGCTCCAAACAACCTTAATTATGCATTTGAAGAAGTCTAATAGCCCAAATATAACTGAAATTAGCAACAACTTGTATATGGACCACTTCCAAGTAACTACCAGCAGGGAGGAGAAACTGCTAAACATATATCAAGAGGAAAATTGAGAGTTGTTGGGAGCAAATATGCCTCTCCAGTCGTGGACCTCCAATAATGTCAACTTTAAATCAACTGAGTGAATCAGAATTTCCTGAGTACAAGATACCCCAGAAGATAAAGGTACTAGGTGTCAAATGGGATACAACTTCGGACAGTTAACTATTAAATTGGTAGAACCAGATACCACCAATTAACTATAAGGAAACTACTATCACAAGTCAGTAAGCTTTTCGACCCCTTGGGACTATTAAGCCCCATATTAATAAAGGGTAAGTGGATCATGCAAGAATGCTGGCAAGCCAACATATGTTGGGACGATCCCCTAACAACTGCTCTACAAGAAAAAACTGCAACAACTAACAACAGATTAAAGTGTCCTAGACAACCTTAAGTTTCCTCGTAACACCATTAAGGTTGAGCAGCCTATTAAGCTGCATGTGTTCTGTGACGCCTCAGGGAAGGCATATGGCACTGTAGTGTATCTAGTAACACACGAGCAGGCAATTCTGCTCAAATCAACATGGAAAGTACCTCTGCTGAAGACATTGAAAAATTACTAGCAGATATTAATAAAGTTTTCAACTGGGCAACAGAAAATAACATGATATTTAACAGTGATAAATTCCAGGTACTCAGGTAGGGGTAAAAATGAGGACCTTAAACATAATACAGAGGGTACAAAACACAATCAAATGTGCCCATAGTAGGAAAGCAGCATATAAAGGATCTAGGAATAATGATGTCTGTCGACCTAACATTCAGAGAGCATAACCAAGCAAATATTGCGTCAACCAGAAAAAAGAAGGATGGATTATGAAAACCTTTAAGTCCAGAGATCCCATCACAATGGTCCACTTCAACCAGTCATGATCGATTGCGGAATATTTTGTATGGTGAGCAAGGGTGTTAGCGGTGTTAGACTGCCTCAGGTGGTGAGTCAAACTATCCCAATGGTTGCACAATGACATGCATATCTGCCACACCTAAGATATTCCTAACAACACACATACACACACAAACAACAACACAACAGTCCCCTCGTAACAGAACGAGGGGACATGGGTGGAAGCTGGAAACTCAGATGAGTCACAGAGATGTTAGGAAGTTTTCTTTTAGCGTGAGAGTAGTGGGAAAATGGAATGCACTTAAGAAGCAGGTTGTGGAAGCAAATTCTATTCATAATTTTAAAACTAGATATGATAGGGAAATAGGACCGGAGTCATTGCTGTAAACAACCGAAGGCTCGAAAGGCGGGATCCAGGAGTCAATGCTCGATCCTGCAGACAGAAATAGGTGAGTACACACACACACACAAACAAGAAGAGAGAGGAATGAGACGGATGAAGATAGACAGATACTACAGGATGACCTGGGCAAACTGAAGGAATGATCTAGAAAATGGCTGCTAAAGTTCAACTCAGGAAAGTGTAAGGTAATGAAATTAGGCGAAGGGAGCAGGAGGCTGAACACAAGGTATCATCTGGGAGGTGAAATCCTGTAAGAGTCAAATAGAGAGAAAGATCTGGTGGTTGATATCACACCGAACCTGTCCCCAGAGGCCCACATCAAAAGGATATCATCAGCGGCATATGCTAGACTGGCCAACATAAGAACTGCCTTTAGAAACTTGTGTAAGGAATCGTTCAAGACCCTGTATACCACTTATGTAAGACCAATCCTGGAGTATGCAGCTCCAGCCTGGAATCCATACCTAGTTAAACACAAGACAAAGTTAGAGAAGATTCAGCGGTATGCCACCAGGCTCGTCCCGGAACTGAGAGGTATGAGCTACGAGGAAAGGCTACGGGAGCTGAACCTCACGTCCCTGGAAAACAGAAGAGTAAGGGGAGACATGATAACCACCTACAAAATTCTCAGGGGAATTGACAGGGTGGACAAAGACAAACTCTTCAGCACGGGTGGGACACGAACAAGGGGACACAGGTGGAAACTTAGTACCCAGATGAGCCACAGAGACGTTAGAAAGATTTTTTTCAGTGTCAGAGTAGTTAATAAATGGAATGCACTAGGAAGTGATGTGGTGGAGGCTGACTCCATACACAGTTTCAAATGTAGATATGATAGAGCCCAGTAAGCTCAAGAATCTGTACACAAGACAAGCTGAAGGAATGGTCGAACAAATGGTTGTTAGAGTTTAACCCAACCTAATGTAATGTAATGAAGATAGGTGTAGGGAGCAGGAGGCCAGATACAAAGTATCATCTGGGAGAGGAAATTCTTCAGGAGTCAGAGAAAGAAAAAGACTTGGGGGTTGATATCACGCCAGACCTGTCTCCTGCAGCACATATCAAGCGGATAACATCAGCGGCATACGCCAGGCTGGCCAACATACGAACGGCATTCAGAAACTTGTGTTAAGAATCATTCAGAACTTTGTATACCACATATGTCAGGCCAATCCTGGAGTATGCAGCCCCAGCATGGAGTCCATATCTAGTCAAGGATAAGACTAAACTGGAAAAGGTTCAAAGGTTTGCCACCAGACTAGTACCCGAGCTCAGAGGTATGAGCTACGAGGAGAGACTACAAGAATTAAACCTCACTTCGCTGGAAGACAGAAGAGTTAGGGCGGACATGATCACCACATTCAAGATTTTGAAGGGAATTGATAGGGTAGATAAAGACAGGCTATTTAATACAAGGGGACACGCACAAGGCGACACAGGTGGAAACTGAGTGCCCAAATGAGCCACAGAGATATTAGAGAGAACTTTTTTAGTGTCAGAGTGGTTGACAAATGGAATGCATTAGGAGGTGATGTGATGGAGGCTGATTCCATACACATAGAACATAGATTCCATAGATTCCATAGATTCCAAATTCCATAGATTCCATAGAACAAGGAGAAGCCCCTGCACTAAATGAGGAGGCGGCAACCTTGGAAACCTTGGAGGAATTTGACCTCACCAGTGATGAGGTCAAAAGGTGTCTGCTGGAGCTAGATGTGACAAAGGCTGTTGGGCCTGATAGAATCTCACCATGGATACTAAAGGAAGGTGCAGAAGCACTAAGTGTGCCACTCTCTATGGTGTATAACAGGTCACTGGAAACAGGAGACTTACCAGAAAGTTGGAAGACAGCTAACGTGGTCCCAATATACAAAAAGGGTGACAGGCAAGAGGCACTGAATTACAGGCCAGTTTCCCTAACTTGTATACCTTGCAAGGTGCTGGAGAAGATCGTGAGGAAAAGGCTCGTAGAGCATCTGGAGGGAAATAACTTTGTAACGCACCACCAACATGGGTTCAGAGATGGTAAATCGTGCCTCACAGGGTTAATAGAATTTTATGACCAGGCAATGAAAATTAGGCAGGAAAGAGAAGGGTGGGCCGACTGCATTTTCCTGGATTGCCAAAAGGCCTTCGACACAGTACCCCATAAAAGGCTGTTAAAAAAGTTGGAGCAACAGGCAGGAGTAAAAGGGAAGGTGCTCCAGTGGATAAGGGAGTACTTAAGCAACAGGAAACAGCGAGTAACGGTGAGGGGGGAGACATCAGAGTGGCGAGATGTCACCAGCGGAGTCCCACAGGGCTCAGTACTTGGACCCATCCTGTTTCTAATATATGTGAACGATCTTCCAGAGGGTATAGACTCATTCCTCTCGATGTTTGCTGATGATGCAAAAATTATGAGAAGAATCAAGACGGATGAAGATAGACAGAGACTACAGGATGACCTGGATAAACTGGAGGAATGGTCTAGAAAATGGCTGCTGAAGTTCAACTCTGGAAAGTGTAAGGTGATGAAATTAGGCGAAGGGAGCAGGAGGCTGAACACAAGGTATCATCTGGGAGGGGAAATCCTGCAAGAATCAAATAGAGAGAAGGATCTGGGGGTTGATATCACACCGAACCTGTCCCCAGAGGCCCACATCAAAAGAATATCATCAGCGGCATATGCTAGACTGGCCAACATAAGAACTGCCTTCAGAAACTTGTGTAAGGAATCTTTCAGAACCCTGTATACCACTTATGTAAGACCAATCCTGGAGTATGCAGCTCCAGCCTGGAGTCCATACCTAGTTAAACACAAGACAAAGTTAGAGAAGATTCAGCGGTATGCCACCAGGCTCGTCCCGGAACTGAGAGGATTGAGCTACGAGGAAAGGCTAAAGGAGCTGAACCTCACATCCCTGGAAAACAGAAGAGTAAGGGGAGACATGATAACCACCTACAAAATTCTCAGGGGAATTGACAGGGTGGACAAAGACAAACTCTTCAGCACGGGTGGGACACGAACAAGGGGACACAGGTGGAAACTTAGTACCCAGATGAGCCACAGAGACGTTAGAAAGAATTTTTTCAGTGTCAGAGTAGTTAATAAATGGAATGCACTAGGAAGTGATGTGGTGGAGGCTGACTCCATACACAGTTTCAAATGTAGGTATGATAGAGCCCAGTAGGCTCAGGAATCTGTACACCAGTTGATTGACAGTTGAGAGGCGGGACCAAAGAGCCAAAGCTCAACCCCCGCAAGCACAATTAGGTGAGTACAATTAGGTGAGTACAGTTTCAAGTGTAAATATGATAGAGCCCAATAGGCTCAGGAACCTGTACACCTGTTGATTGACGGTTGAGAGGCGAGACCAAAGAGCCAGAGCTCAACCCCCGCAAACACAACTAGGTGAGTACACCACACACACACACACACACACACACACACACACACACACACACACACACACACACACACACACACACACACACACACACACACACAAGGGTCCCACGAGAATGAGAGGCAATGATGAACCAGCAAGACTCGACCTAGTATTCACTCTGAACGATTCAGACATAAGTGAAATCGGTCTTGAAGCCCCCGTGGGTATGAGTGATCACAGTGTACTGTTGCTTGAGTATCTGGTCGAAGAAGGGTTAATGTACTCAAGGAAGAGAACAGAAAGCAAGAGGCCGGCATTCCGGAAGGGAAACTATGAGGAGATGAGAAAATTCCTAACTGAAATAACTTGGGAAACAGAGCTCAGAGGAAAGACGGTTCAAGACATGATGGACTACATCACACAGAAGTGTAAGGAGGCAGCAGACAAGTTCGTCCCAGTCCAAAAGGAAAAAAATAAAATGGAGATGAGAAACCCATGGTTTAATCAGAGTTGTAAGCTAGCAAAGCAACTAAGTAAAAGGGTGTGGAGAGACTATAGAAGCAACAGAACACCAGAGAGCAGGTTAATATTCTTTCGGCACCTTTGTTTCCTTAGTGCGCGCGCCAAGGAAACAAAGGTGCCGAAAAAATATTAACCATTTTTTCTTTTGCAAACAGAGTTTTAGACGGTAGGAACAAGTTAAGTGGGAAGGTGGTGGAGGCCAAGACCGTCAGTAGTTTCAAAGCGTTATATGACAAAGAGTGCTGGGAAGACGGGACACCACGAGCGTAGCTCTCATCCTGTAACTACACTTAGGTAAGTATACACACACATGTAAACCACTCATACTGCAGCTGGAGGCGACATGGCCCCCTGACCACCCCTTAGCGTGCCTAGATGTCACTACCTCTGCAGTGGTCGGGGAGAGGAACATAAGCCATGGGGGTAAAAAAAAACATGTATGAATGAAGAATGCATGCAATGATCACCTTGAGGTTATCTTGAGATGATTTCGGGGCATTTAGTGTCCCCGCGGCCCGGTCCTCGACCAGGCCTCCACCCCCAGGAAGCAGCCCGTGACAGCTGACTAACACCCAGGTACCTATTTTACTGCTAGGTAACAGGGGGCATAGGGGTGAAAATCAGAAGAAAAGCGGTAAATATTTCACCTTGTAGTTCATGATCATGAGTTGCTGAAGGAGGAACGCCAAAATCATGTGAGTAGTGACGTACACAAACTGCCAGAGGGGCAGCTGGGGGTCGTACTTGGCCCTGGGAGCCCGCACATCAGTAAAGGTGTCGGGGTCCCCCAGGCGTGGCGTGCCAGGCGCCCACCCGGGCCCGTAGAACAGGGCCCTCAGGAAGTCTCCCCAGCTCGTCATGCTTCTCGCCTTGTGGTAAATCTCTACGAAGTAGTAGAACTGCGGAGGATAAAATTGAATTTAACATATTTTACAAAATTAGAATCACTGAACGTAAGTTGATGTAAAAATGTAAAAGGATAAATCGCATCATGAAATAAGTGTGTGTAGCCAAGATCTAGGCTCCCAAGACCTAGATCTGAGAATGTGTGTGTGTAGTTACCAAGTGATAGTCGGTGGTAGATAGTTCTCCCAGCTTCACGCCTTCTTCTGATAATTCCTTCCAACCAGACCATCTTTATTTAAAATTTTCAGTAATTTACAGTTTTTGCTGATATTGCTTTCAAGAACATGAAGAAGTGAGGCATGACAGGTGCTCAGTCATGAGGACAATGTACAGGTGGATGAAGATAAGAAGGTGTCCAAGAGCTGGGGGAACTATATGGAAGTAAATGAACAAACTGGCAGAAGAATCGGTGAGAATCATGACGAGAAAGCTGCATGATGTCAAAGATAACTTAAAGAAAGAAATATAACAGAAGAAAACAAGATATTTGACGGGTGACTATAGCAGAAATAGAAGAGTGTCACAAACTCAAATCCAGAAGACAGTCATTGGCGATTAACAGTGTCAGGAGGGATTGCATACACGAAATAAAGGAACACATGATAAATGACAGTAATAATAAGATTATTATTATTCCGCAGTCTCCGTGGTGTAGTGGTAAGACACTCGCCTGGCGTTCCGCGAGCGCTATGTCATGGGTTCGTATCCTGGCCGGGGAGGATTTACTGGGCGCAATTCCTTAACTGTAGCCTCTGTTTAACGCAACAGTAAAATGTGTACTTGGTTGTAACAACGATTCTTCGCGGCGGGGATCGTATTCTAGGGACCATAGGATTAAGGACTTGCCCGAAACGCTACGCGTACTAGTGGCTGTACAAGAATGTAACAACTCTTGTATATATCTCAAAAAAAAAAAAAAAAAAAAAAAAAAAAAAAAAAAAAAAAAAAAAAAAAAAAAAAAAAAAAAAAAAATTATAAAAATACATAATGGGGGAGACAAGTGGGATAAATAAGTAAGAGACAACTTAGAAACTTAGAAGCTTTCCAATGTAGCGTTACTTTATAATTGTTTATGCCTCAAACGTATACAAAATGGATATAATCTTCCAAATAAAGTTGCTTTGATCTCTGCCTTAGCCAGTTTAGGGACTATTTATTGAAGGTTATTTGAAGGCTGCCAACTTCTTCTCTCGAGCTGTGAGAAAGTGTCGCAGCTCTAGAGAAGGAGAGACCTAAGTTGTGTTACATAATGTTACTGAAGGCATGAGAGAGCAGCGGACACACCAACTGACGCCTCTCATCGATTGATTGATTGATGAAGATTAAGCCACCCAAGAGGTGGCACGGGCATGAATAGCCCGTAAGTGGTGGCCCTTTTGAGCCATTACCAGTATCAAAAGATGATACTGGAGATCTGTGGAGGCGCAACTGCACCCTGCGTGACGGGAGATGTCTCCCGGACCAAATGGTGACCAAATGGTGACCAAATGGTGGCCTGTCATCAAGAGAGAGTAATAGATATACACATCCTTAGATTACAATGCCTGGGTGAGGCTGCGAGGGACTTGATGTATGTGTTCAGACTGAGGTCATACAACACAACAAATCTGAGAATGAGACTGCTAAAGCTCTTTGTTTACAACTGAGGTGACATTATGAACTATAAGATGTTTGAAGCTTCTTAGCAAAACAGAAGACTTTAGATTCGTATGTATGGAAAATTACATGAATTAAAAGGAAGATAGAACAATGCAGGGGAAAAGGCAAGGAGAGGGAAAGGGAAGAGAGAAGATGGCGTTAAAGACGAGGGACCAATTGGATAAAATGGAGAAGAAACTTTTCTACTTCCCAGTGGCCCCACGACCTATGAACACACATAAATAATGCAGCAGGAGCACCCCACCAGTTACTCCTGCCTGTTTCTCTAATACATGCACCAGCCTCTCATGGGGTACTGTGTCAAAGCCTTTGCAACATAACAAGAAAATGCTGTCTGCCCATCCTTCCCTTGCTGGCTAACTCTTGCTTAATCGCCTGGTCGTAGAATTATATTAAACCTGTGAGGCAAGATTTGTCATCCCTGAACCCCTGTTGGTGGTGTGACATGAAGTACTTTCTCTCCAGATATGTTACTAGGTATTTTCTCACGATCTTCTCAATCACATTGCATGGTATACAAAGTAGGGACATTGGCCTGTAGTTCAGAGCCTCCTGCCTGCCACTCTTTTTGTATACTGGGACTACATTACCTTTCTTCATACTTCTGGGAGGTCTCCTGTCTCCAGTGACTTACTATACACCATGGAGAGTAGCAAGCAAGGTGCTTCTGTACACTCTTTCAGTAGCCATGGCGAGATTCCTTCCGGATTAACAGTCTTTCTCACGTCCAGATCCTACAGATGCCTCTCAACCTCATCTCTGGTAATTTCAAAACCTTCCAAGGCTGCCTGGTTTATTACCACCTCTCCTAGTTATTGGGCTTCACCTCATTATATTGTGAAGACCTCCTGGAATATCTTTGTTGAGTTCTTCACACAATTCTTTGTCATTCTCTTTGTACCTGTCCTCAAATGTTCTCAGTTTCATCACCTGTTCTTTCACTGTTGTTTTCCTCCAGATAGGGCAGTTTTGGTTCGGTCTTGACTTTATTTGCTATATAATTTTCATACTGTCTCTCTGCTTCTCTTCTCACACTGACATTTTCATTCTTGGCTCTCTGGTATACCATACATGCCCTCGCATTTCTTTTCTTTTTGGGGCGGAATAAACTCTTTTACTGCCTCCTTTCACTTTTGGGTGACATAATCCATCATGTCTTGTACAGACATTTTTCTGAGTTCTGTGTCTCAGTGTATCTCTCTTAGGAATTCTCTCATCTCATAATTCCCCTTTCAGTATGGCAGCCCCTTGTTTTCTAGTTCTTTTTTGGGGGTAGATTTCTCCTTCCTCTACCATGTACTCAAATATCATTACATTGTGCAGGCGAGGAGTCACAATAACGTGGCTGAAGTATGTTGACCAGACCACACACTAGAAATTGAAGGGACGACGACGTTTCGGTCCGTCCTGGACCATTCTCAAGGTTACTTTATAATTGTTTATGCCTCAAACGTATACAAAATGGATATAATCTTCCAAATAAAGTTGCTTTGATCTCTGCCTTAGCCAGTTTAGGGACTATTTATTGAAGGTTATTTGAAGGCTGCCAACTTCTTCTCTCGAGCTGTGAGAAAGTGTCGCAGCTCTAGAGAAGGAGAGACCTAAGTTGTGTTACATAATGTTACTGAAGGCATGAGAGAGCAGCGGACACACCAACTGACGCCTCTCATCGATTGATTGATTGATGAAGATTAAGCCACCCAAGAGGTGGCACGGGCATGAATAGCCCGTAAGTGGTGGCCCTTTTGAGCCATTACCAGTATCAAAAGATGATACTGGAGATCTGTGGAGGCGCAACTGCACCCTGCGTGACGGGAGATGTCTCCCGGACCAAATGGTGACCAAATGGTGACCAAATGGTGGCCTGTCATCAAGAGAGAGTAATAGATATACACATCCTTAGATTACAATGCCTGGGTGAGGCTGCGAGGGACTTGATGTATGTGTTCAGACTGAGGTCATACAACACAACAAATCTGAGAATGAGACTGCTAAAGCTCTTTGTTTACAACTGAGGTGACATTATGAACTATAAGATGTTTGAAGCTTCTTAGCAAAACAGAAGACTTTAGATTCGTATGTATGGAAAATTACATGAATTAAAAGGAAGATAGAACAATGCAGGGGAAAAGGCAAGGAGAGGGAAAGGGAAGAGAGAAGATGGCGTTAAAGACGAGGGACCAATTGGATAAAATGGAGAAGAAACTTTTCTACTTCCCAGTGGCCCCACGACCTATGAACACACATAAATAATGCAGCAGGAGCACCCCACCAGTTACTCCTGCCTGTTTCTCTAATACATGCACCAGCCTCTCATGGGGTACTGTGTCAAAGCCTTTGCAACATAACAAGAAAATGCTGTCTGCCCATCCTTCCCTTGCTGGCTAACTCTTGCTTAATCGCCTGGTCGTAGAATTATATTAAACCTGTGAGGCAAGATTTGTCATCCCTGAACCCCTGTTGGTGGTGTGACATGAAGTACTTTCTCTCCAGATATGTTACTAGGTATTTTCTCACGATCTTCTCAATCACATTGCATGGTATACAAAGTAGGGACATTGGCCTGTAGTTCAGAGCCTCCTGCCTGCCACTCTTTTTGTATACTGGGACTACATTACCTTTCTTCATACTTCTGGGAGGTCTCCTGTCTCCAGTGACTTACTATACACCATGGAGAGTAGCAAGCAAGGTGCTTCTGTACACTCTTTCAGTAGCCATGGCGAGATTCCTTCCGGATTAACAGTCTTTCTCACGTCCAGATCCTACAGATGCCTCTCAACCTCATCTCTGGTAATTTCAAAACCTTCCAAGGCTGCCTGGTTTATTACCACCTCTCCTAGTTATTGGGCTTCACCTCATTATATTGTGAAGACCTCCTGGAATATCTTTGTTGAGTTCTTCACACAATTCTTTGTCATTCTCTTTGTACCTGTCCTCAAATGTTCTCAGTTTCATCACCTGTTCTTTCACTGTTGTTTTCCTCCAGATAGGGCAGTTTTGGTTCGGTCTTGACTTTATTTGCTATATAATTTTCATACTGTCTCTCTGCTTCTCTTCTCACACTGACATTTTCATTCTTGGCTCTCTGGTATACCATACATGTCCTCGCATTTCTTTTCTTTTTGGGGCGGAATAAACTCTTTTACTGCCTCCTTGCACTTTTGGGTGACATAATCCATCATGTCTTGTACAGACATTTTTCTGAGTTCTGTGTCTCAGTGTATCTCTCTTAGGAATTTTCTCATCTCATAATTCCCCTTTCAGTATGGCAGCCCCTTGTTTTCTAGTTCTTTTTTGGGGGTAGATTTCTCCTTCCTCTACCATGTACTCAAATATCATTACATTGTGCAGGCGAGGAGTCACAATAACGTGGCTGAAGTATGTTGACCAGACCACACACTAGAAATTGAAGGGACGACGACGTTTCGGTCCGTCCTGGACCATTCTCAAGTCGATTTCTCACAATCGACTTGAGAATGGTCCAGGACGGACCGAAACGTCGTCGTCCCTTCAATTTCTAGTGTGTGGTCTGGTCAACATCATTACATTGTGATCACTCAATCCCAAGGGGGCTTCCAACTTAACTTTCCTTATATCTGACTCATTCAGGATGAATATCATATCAAGCCTAGCTGGTTCATCTTTTCTCATTCTTATGGGTCCCTTGACGTGTTGCTAAGGAAAGTTCTTGTTGCCACGTCCAGTAGTTTAGCTCTCCATGAGTCTGGTCCTGCATGGGGGTTTCTGTTCTAATCTACCTTCCCGTGGTTGAAGTCTCCCATGATTAGCAGTCTGGATCCGTTCCTGCTAGCGACAGAAGCTGCTCTTTCTATTATATTATTGGCAGCCATGTTGTTTCTATCATATTCCTGTCTGAGTCTTCAGTCATTTGGTGAGGGGGGGGGAGGTTATATGTAACTACTAATATTAGTTTGGTCCTCCAAATGTGGTGGTGCCTGTTATGTAGTCACTGAACCCGTCACAGCCCTGGATAACCATCTCCTCAAAGCTTCAGTGTTTCCTTATCAGCAGAGCCAATCCACCTCCCACCTTTCCCTTCCCTCTCTTTCCTATTTTTTTGCGAAAACACTGCATTTGCTATAGTTTTGATTGGTTTTGTTTCTGTGGGTGCTATTTTGTTTGGATTTTCTTCTTGTGTTCCCGTTTCTCCAAGTTTACTTGCTCCACTTGTTATCCTGCCTATGAGTACAATTGCCTTGAAGCTCACTTTCTTCTGACCATTCTTTCTTCTTTGACTTTTGGTGGGCTTTCTGCTGGTGGAGAAAGTTGTTCCATGGGTGTTGAAATTTGTGTGATGGTTAACAGGGCCTCGGAGGATTTTGGGGTTAAGGCTGGCGTGGGGGGGGGGGTTAAGATAAGGGGGGGGGACAGGGAGGGTGAGGGAGGAGGGAGAGTTGAATGAGCATTTGAATTAGGACAGGGAGGGCTCAGGGTGAGGAGGGTTTCTATGGGGAGGAAGGTGGGGATGTTGCTCTGGTGTTGCTGGGCTGCTGGTTGGAGATTGGGGCTCCCACTCCCCTATGGGAATGCTGTGCTGTGGACTGAGGTTCCCTGGTTCTCTCATGTCGTCCTAGTTCTTCCGTGCATCTGCTGCCATGATTCTCTCTTCCCTTGTCGTGTCCCTCCAAATGAATACTTTTTTGTAACCTCTTACATTTCAACCTCAACCAAATGAGGTTGAGCCAACCTCAACAGTTGGCTCTTCTTTGCTAAAGTTTCCTTCTATGTGGTCTTATTTGTATACAGTATCTTTATCAGTCGATCTTTGTCCTTGTTGTACCAGCCTAGCCTGAAAACCTTCTCTATATTTTGTTCAGCTCTCTCTATCTGTAACCCCTTCAGGATCTCTCTCACTGCCACTCTGTTCTTAGCTTTCCATTCTATCGAACTGAAGCCTTCTTCTTGTTTAATTTCCACTGTTACCACATATCTTCTCCTTTCCGGCAGCTGACTAGTGCACCTTGCTGCTTTTTGTAAGGCAGCTGCTTTCATGGCTTCTTCCTTCACTGTGGAGATTGTGAAGGTCCACAGCCCTCTATGTCCACACTGTGGACATAGAGGTGGAGAGTGTCACAGGTGGCCAAATGAATTACTTTGAAATGTGTCATTACTGAGAAGCTTAACATTGATACATGGGATACATATCAGAAAATGTAATACCGACCATGATGCATAAACAGCCACACAACCACTAAAGACCTAGAAAACAAGTGAAAATAAAAAGAGAGCGTACATATATTGCCTCCAAGGAATCTCAGAAACATCCCTCATGCCTTACAATAAAGGTAACAGGCCTCATTCCTTAAGATAAAGGCAACATACCTCATGCCAGAGAACGTTGTGGGTCTGTGGCTGCTGCGTTAGTCCGTAGACGATCTCTTCGTTGTCCCTCTCGCTCTCAAAGGTGCCAAAGATGCGGTCCCATATGATGAACACACTGGCGTAGTTCTTATCCAGACACCACTTGTTGGCTCCTGGAGAAACACAGTCTGTCAGTTACACCAGCCCACTCTCTTACCCACCATATATATATATATATATATATATATATATATATATATATATATATATATATATATATATATATATATATATATATATATATATATTATATATATTATATATATATATATATATATATATATATATATATATATATATATATATATATATATATATATATATATATATATATATATATATATATATTGGGAGCGTGTTTTCTCTAATACACATATCATTAAACACAACAACATTGTGACCATTATTAACTTTCTTTAGGATATTTTCCATTCTAGGTAAATATATTCTACCATCTGGAGGGTGAAGAAACACTAGATTGCATTTCTCTAAGCAGTGCTCCTCCCCATGATCCTGTATCTAAGCAGTGCTCCTCCCCATGATCCAGTATCTAAGCAGTGCTCCTCCCCATGATCCTGTATCTAAGCAGTGCTCCTCCCCATGATCCAGTATCTAAGCAGTGCTCCTCCTCATGATCCAGTATCTAAGCAGTGCTCCTCCCCATGATCCAGTATCTAAGCAGTGCACCTCCCCATGATCCAGTATCTAAGCAGTGCTCCTCCCCATGATCCTGTATCAGCAGTGCACCTCCCCATGATCCAGTATCTAAGCAGTGCTCCTCCCCATGATCCTGTATCAGCAGTGCTCCTCCCCATGATCCTGTATCAGCAGTGCACCTCCCCATGATCCAGTATCTAAGCAGTGCTCCTCCCCATGATCCTGTATCTAAGCAGTGCTCCTCCCCATGATCCTGTATCTAAGCAGTGCTCCTCCCCATGATCCTGTATCTAAGCAGTGCTCCTCCCCATGATCCTGTATCTAAGCAGTGCTCCTCCCCATGATCCAGTATCTAAGCAGTGCTCCTCCCCATGATCCAGTATCTAAGCAGTGCACCTCCCCATGATCCAGTATCTAAGCAGTGCTTCTCCCCATGATCCAGTATCTAAGCAGTGCTTCTCCCCATGATCCAGTATCTAAGCAGTGCACCTCCCCATGATCCAGTATCTAAGCAGTGCACCTCCCCATGATCCAGTATCTAAGCAGTGCACCTCCCCATGATCCAGTATCTAAGCAGTGCACCTCCCCATGATCCAGTATCTAAGCAGTGCACCTCCCCATGATCCATTATCTAAGCAGTGCACCTCCCCATGATCCTGTATCTAAGCAGTGCTTCTCCCCATGATCCAGTATCTAAGCAGTGCTTCTCCCCATGATCCAGTATCTAAGCAGTGCTCCTCCCCATGATCCAGTATCTAAGCAGTGCACCTCCCCATGATCCAGTATCTAAGCAGTGCACCTCCCCATGATCCAGTATCTAAGCAGTGCTCCTCCCCATGATCCAGTATCTAAGCAGTGCTTCTCTCCATGATCCAGTATCTAAGCAGTGCACCTCCCCATAATCCTGTATCTAAGCAGTGCTTCTCCCCATGATCCAGTATCTAAGCAGTGCTTCTCCCCATGATCCAGTATCTAAGCAGTGCACCTCCCCATGATCCAGTATCTAAGCAGTGCACCTCCCCATGATCCAGTATCTAAGCAGTGCACCTCCCCATGATCCTGTATCTAAGCAGTGCTTCTCCCCATGATCCAGTATCTAAGCAGTGCTTCTCCCCATGATCCAGTATCTAAGCAGTGCACCTCTCCATGATCCAGTATCTAAGCAGTGCACCTCCCCATGATCCAGTATCTAAGCAGTGCACCTCCCCATGATCCAGTATCTAAGCAGTGCTCCTCCCCATGATCCAGTATCTAAGCAGTGCACCTCCCATGAACTTGCACCCATCATAATCACAATCCTCAAATTAGTTCATGGTTTCATTACTGAGACAACTGCCTACACTCTCCTGAGAAAGTTGTGTGTCGCGCCGCTCTCCCGGACTGGGCGGAACAATAATAATGGAACTTCTCAGCGTCGAGGAGTCTTATACGCAAACTGAAAATCAAAAGTGTTTGGTTAATGAGAGATTTGAAGGAGCTCACAGCACACACCTACCATGATGCACGCGATGGTAAGAGGGAGTCATGAAGACCCAGCCAATGGGCCCGAGGCTGCCAACGTACTCCAAGTGCACCCAGAACTGGAAGAGGTAGTTAAAAGCGACGTGGACAACGACGGTAGGGAGAGGGAAGCCTAGGAGCGCCAGAGGCTGGTAGAAGCCGAAGTGGGCGGCGCGCTGGAGTACTGAGAGGCGGACAGCTGTGGCCAAGTTGTAGTCCTCGGAGGAGTGATGGACCTGGTGTACAGCCCACAAGATGTTCAGCTCTGACAGTCACGCAACAAGGAAAAATGGTTACTTGCTGGAAATAGGAAACCTGAACATTTAAATAATTGTATGAAGATGTATGTTGACCAGACCACACACTAGAAGGTGAAGGGACGACGATGTTTCGGTCCGTCTTGGACCATTCTCAAGTCGATTGGCCCTTCTAGTGTGTGGTCTGGTCAACTTACTTTAGCCACGTTATTGTGACTCATCGCCTGCATGAAGATGTATGATTAACTAAACTCTTTGAATTGATGTATACTGTCCAAAGTGATGAAAACAAAAGCCATGACTAATCCATTGTTCAAGGATGTAAAAATGCAAAATGCGTATGAATAAGGGCTTGGAAAAACAAAAGAATAAAAGAACAATGTAGAGCAGAGAGGGATCTCATAGGACCAGGAATAAGTTCCTTAAGACGGGCAGCTAAGTAGAAAACCAATTTGATATGACACTGGACATGAAGCAAGGCTGAAGCAAAAATTGCTTCACTTCCACACCAGGAGAAAAACAGCAGAACAGAAACTTAAGTGTGTGGGAAAACTCAGGTAGAGGGTTCATGAAGTCCGAGGGTTCATAACAAGAAGAAATTCTTCCATTAAGAATGATGACATCAAACACAGCAGCAATGGAAGACGTTGAGATCGCTTAAGGTGCTCAGATGAATTCCAAGGCACCTACTGGAGGAAGGTGCAGCTACGGCAGAGGGATCAGATCAAATATCCCCGTAGACACTGAAAGAAGCAGCCTTCGGCTTGCCTCTCGCTACCATATGCAACAAGTCACAAGGAAAAGAACTACCATAATGTGGAAACGGTTACTAAACAAACAGGAAACAATGACTATAGGCCAGTGTCCCCTACTTGCATGTTATGCAGTGTGTTGCAATGTTCCTCAAGAAACAGGCTAATAGAACGTATGGAGAGAACAGTCTTAATACTACAGCCTCATCTGTGTTCAGGGATGACAGATCTTGCGTCACGAACACAATATTCTAGGACCAGGCGACTGAGATCAGAAGAGACAGAAGTGTTTGGGTGGTTGATTATTTTTGGATTGTCAGTGAGCCTTGACACAGTACACCACTGGTGACGAGTGCACAAGATGGTTGTCAGTGAGCCTTGACACAGTACACCACTGGTGACGAGTGCACAAGATGGTCGTCAGTGAGCCTTGACACAGTACACCACTGGTGACGAGTGCACAAGATGGTCGTCACTGAGCCTTGACACAGTACACCACTGGTGACGAGTACACAAGATGGTCGTCACTGAGCCTTGACACAGTACACCACTGGTGACGAGTACACAAGATGGTCGTCACTGAGCCTTGACACAGTACACAACTGGTGACGAGTATACAAGATGGTCGTCACTGAGCCTTGACACAGTACACCACTGGTGACGAGTGCACAAGATGGTTGTCACTGAGCCTTGACACAGTACACCACTGGTGACGAGTACACAAGATGGTCGTCACTGAGCCTTGACACAGTACACAACTGGTGACGAGTACACAAGATGGTCGTCACTGAGCCTTGACACAGTACACCACTGGTGACGAGTGCACAAGATGGTTGTCACTGAGCCTTGACACAGTACACCACTGGTGACGAGTACACAAGATGGTCGTCACTGAGCCTTGACACAGTACACAACTGGTGACGAGTACACAAGATGGTCGTCACTGAGCCTTGACACAGTACACCACTGGTGACGAGGGCACAAGATGGTCGTCACTGAGCCTTGACACAGTACACCACTGGTGACGAGTACACAAGATGGTTGTCACTGAGCCTTGACACAGTACACCACTGGTGACGAGTACACAAGATGGTCGTCACTGAGCCTTGACACAGTACACCACTGGTGACGAGTACACAAGATGGTCGTCACTGAGCCTTGACACAGTACACAACTGGTGACGAGTATACAAGATGGTCGTCACTGAGCCTTGACACAGTACACCACTGGTGACGAGTACACAAGATGGTCGTCACTGAGCCTTGACACAGTACACAACTGGTGACGAGTACACAAGATGGTCGTCACTGAGCCTTGACACAGTACACCACTGGTGACGACGGCACAAGATGGTTGTCACTGAGCCTTGACACAGTACACCACTGGTGACGAGTGCACAAGATGGTCGTCACTGAGCCTTGACACAGTACACAACTGGTGACGAGTACACAAGATGGTCGTCACTGAGCCTTGACACAGTACACCACTGGTGACGAGTACACAAGATGGTCGTCACTGAGCCTTGACACAGTACACAACTGGTGACGAGTACACAAGATGGTCGTCACTGAGCCTTGACACAGTACACCACTGGTGACGAGTACACAAGATGGTCGTCACTGAGCCTTGACACAGTACACAACTGGTGACGAGTACATAAGATGGTCGTCACTGAGCCTTGACACAGTACACAACTGGTGACGAGTACACAAGATGGTCGTCACTGAGCCTTGACACAGTACACCACTGGTGACGAGTACACAAGATGGTCGTCACTGAGCCTTGACATAGTACACCACTGGTGACGAGTGCACAAGATGGTCGTCACTGAGCCTTGACACAGTACACAACTGGTGACGAGTACACAAGATGGTCGTCACTGAGCCTTGACACAGTACACCACTGGTGACGACGGCACAAGATGGTTGTCACTGAGCCTTGACACAGTACACCACTGGTGACGAGTGCACAAGATGGTCGTCACTGAGCCTTGACACAGTACACCACTGGTGACGAGTACACAAGATGGTTGTCAGTGAGCCTTGACACAGTACACAATTGATGACGACGGCACAAGATGGTTGTCACTGAGCCTTGACACAGTACACCACTGGTGACGAGTGCACAAGATGGTCGTCACTGAGCCTTGACACAGTACACCACTGGTGACGAGTGCACAAGATGGTTGTCACTGAGCCTTGACACAGTACACCACTGGTGACGACGGCACAAGATGGTTGTCACTGAGCCTTGACACAGTACACCACTGGTGACGAGTGCACAAGATGGTCGTCACTGAGCCTTGACACAGTACACCACTGGTGACGACGGCACAAGATGGTTGTCACTGAGCCTTGACACAGTACACCACTGGTGACGAGTGCACAAGATGGTCGTCACTGAGCCTTGACACAGTACACCACTGGTGACGAGTACACAAGATGGTTGTCAGTGAGCCTTGACACAGTACACAATTGATGACGACGGCACAAGATGGTTGTCACTGAGCCTTGACACAGTACACCACTGGTGACGAGTGCACAAGATGGTCGTCACTGAGCCTTGACACAGTACACCACTGGTGACGAGTGCACAAGATGGTCGTCACTGAGCCTTGACACAGTACACCACTGGTGACGAGTGCACAAGATGGTCGTCACTGAGCCTTGACACAGTACACCACTGGTGACGAGTGCACAAGATGGTCGTCACTGAGCCTTGACACAGTACACCACTGGTGACGAGTGCACAAGATGGTCGTCACTGAGCCTTGACACAGTACACCACTGGTGACGAGTGCACAAGATGGTCGTCACTGAGCCTTGACACAGTACACCACTGGTGACGAGTGCACAAGATGGTCGTCACTGAGCCTTGACACAGTACACCACTGGTGACGAGTGCACAAGATGGTCGTCACTGAGCCTTGACACAGTACACCACTGGTGACGAGTGCACAAGATGGTCGTCAGTGAGCCTTGACACAGTACACCACTGGTGACGAGTGCACAAAATGGAGACACAGTCAAAAGTGGCAAGGTAGATACTCCAGTGAACAAGTGAGTTCGTCTGCAATAGAAGACAAAGAGCCAGAGAGTTACGTGAGAGACCTCAGGGGGGGGGACAACTAAGACCAATCCTATTCCTCGTCTATGTGAACGACTTGTCAGAGGTGATAAACACTTTTCTCACAATGTTTGTTGATGCATAAATATTAGGGAAGATAAATATGGAGGAAGAATGCAAGGCACAACCAAATTTCTTGTGAATATACGAAGATTGTCTGCACTAGTATTAACTGGAGTTTGACCTCAGTGATTTCACAGTATTAAGTCTGCACCCGCCAAACACACACCGAAACTATGACGTTGGTACAACGTTCGAACAAGTTTTAACACCTCCTAACCAGTTATAACAACCAATATAGCAAGTTGTAACAACGTTCTAATACGTCATAAACACGTTAAGCCAAGATGTAACAACTCTATTACAAGTTGTAACAAGCGGAAAATAGAGACAGTTTCGGTTTGTGTTTCCAGGGCATGGGTTCTTGGCACAAGAGGCTGGGACACAATTAAGATACCAAGGGGGAGGGGAAATAAATCTTCCTGAATTCCAACAGATGTAAATGATTTGATGTAATATCTGATTGATAATTGTTGCATTTAATAATTAACACTCTTCCTTCTGCTTGGTCTTGAAGGGAAACCGGCCTCGGGTGACAGGGGGCTGTGACGATCTCTGGAACCCGTAGGTGCGGGGCTCGGACGTCCACATCCTGGGGGACGTGCGGCTCCCCAGGCTCTGCTTCAGGAGGCTGGGGTCGCTCATGCCCCCTGATGGGGTGGTTCTTCTCCGGCCCGACCACGGCGGTCTCCGGGTTTGGAGTCCCTGTGCCTTTTTTTTTTACGAGCTTCGAGGTCAACTCCGGAGCTCTCAGTACCAGCGACGGCGCTGGAACCAATCGTATTGGCGTTTGCCTTTCCATTGGAGACTTTCGGCGCCGTGGAGAGGAGGGACCTGCTGCTTGGTTGACAGCTTCTCCTCCATATTAACCTACCCTGGCTTTGCGTCCTGGAGAGGCCTCTCGAAACCGACAACCAGAGCCCAACTCCAGAGTCTCCTGAGACTGAAGGATGCCTACTGCTACTACTATTATTACATCAAACCTGTCACCAGAGGTCAACATCAAAATACTTCAGTCAACTTCATCTACAAGGGAATTTTCCCTGTTCAAAAACCGCCATTAGAAATCTGAACGAAGTGTTCAGGACCATGCAGGCCACATACGTGAGACTCCTTGCAGAATATGCAGGGGCAGCATGAAACTATTGAGACGTCTTAAACCAAGAAAACTGTAAGAAGTCCAGAAGTGAGCCACCGGACCCGGTCCTGGAGCTGAGGGGTGTGAGAGTCGAGGACACATTAAAATAATTAAACCTCATATCACTAGAAGTGAGAAGAAAGTTAAGACACATGATTACCATATATACAGTTGTCAGGTGTGGTGGTTGTGGCAGGTGTGGTGGTTGTGGCAGGTGTGGTGGTTGTGGCAGGTGTGGTGGTTGTGGCAGGTGTGGTGGTGGTGGTAGGTGTGGTGGTTGTGGCAGGTGTGGTGGTTGTGGTAGGTGTGGTGGTTGTGGTAGGTGTGGTGGTTGTGGTAGGTGTGGTGGTTGTGGCAGGTGTGGTGGTTGTGGTAGGTGTGGTGGTTGTGGTAGGTGTGGTGGTTGTGGTAGGTGTGGTGGTTGTGGTAGGTGTGGTGGTTGTGGTAGGTGTGGTGGTTGTGGCAGGTGTGGTGGTTGTGGCAGGTGTGGTGGTGGTGGCAGGTGTGGTGGTTGTGGCAGGTGTGGTGGTTGTGGCAGGTGTGGTGGTTGTGGCAGGTGTAGTGCTTGTGGTAGGTGTGATGGTGGTGGTAGGTGTGGTGGTTGTGGCAGGTGTGGTGGTTGTAGCGGACATACCTGGACACACAGCATGTTATGGGTCGCACATCAACATGGAGACAAATGAAATATAAAACCATTATAAATAATTTGGTTAGTGTGAGGGATATACTTATGACACCACACACAGCATTACATGTACATATGACACCACACACAGCATGTGTGTGGTGTCATATGTATATATGACATGTCATATGTCACCACACACACAACTTTACATGTACATATGTCACCACACACAGTTCTACATGTACATATGTCACCACACACAGCTTTACATGTACATAAGACACCACACACACAGCTGTACATGTACATATGACAAAGCCCAAAAGGCTTGGATACTGTATATTTACATCATGCGAGTGAGGGTTGAGAGGCAGGTCCATAGAGCTGAGGCTCAACCTTACCCATTATAACAGGTCAGTACAACGAGGTAAGGACAGTCAGATGTGTGGGTGATGCGAACAAGTGACCTCAGCCGTCTGGTCGACATATATATGACAACAACTAGCAGAGCCCTACCATGGTTTGCTCTGTGGATCCAGTAGTAGCAGAAGTCGACGAAGACGAGGGCGCCGAACCAGGTGTAGGGAGAGGCCCAAGGCAGGTCGAGGAGGCGGTACTGGTAGAGCCACTGGTAGCCTATCAGCGCTATCCACGACGCCATGAACCTACCCAGACACAACATTATCAACACATGTAATGGCTCTACCATAATGTGCAATTACTGCATATGCGTATGTCATATCTTTGACATATGTCATATCTAAATGTTAATCAAACTAATGCTACAAACATGGTCAAAGCTTCCGGATATAGTCAATTAGTGGCTCGGTTACTGAAACTGTTCAAGGATCCCACAGAATACGACCCCCTACTGTATTAATGTTATTATTTCAATATAAATCCTACCATATACGTTGATGAGCCTCGACCCATACCCAGAGCGGTGTGTACCCATGTGTGGGTAGTGATCATATGTTAGATGGTCACAAGCAACAATTAACTGTGTATATTGACAGAAGCTAAAACTTTCACTGTTATTACATAATTTATGTGGAGTGCTAACAGTGTTTACTTCCAGAGACTCGAGTTAGAATCATCCACATCCACTAACCTGCCCACTGTGGCCCTAACACCCCCTAATACACCACTGTAGACCTAACACCCCCTAATACACCACTGTAGACCTAACACCCCCTAATACATCACTGTGGCCCTAACACCCCCTAATACATCACTGTGGCCCTAACACCACCTAATACATCACTGTGGCCCTAACACCCCCTAATACATCACTGTGGCCCTAACACCACCTAATACAACACTGTGGCCCTAACACCCCCTAATACATCACTGTGGCCCTAACACCACCTAATACATCACTGTGGCCCTAACACCCCTAATACATCACTGTGGCCCTAACACCCTAATACATCACTGTGGCCCTAACACCACCTAATACATCACTGTGGCCCTAACACCCCCTAATACATCACTGTGGCCCTAACACCCCCTAATACATCACTGTGGCCCTAACACCCCCTAATACATCACTGTGGCCCTAACACCCCCTAATACATCACTGTGGCCCTAACACCCCCTAATACACCACTGTGGCCCTAACACCCCCTAATACATCACTGTGGCCCTAACACCCCTAATACATCACTGTGGCCCTAACACCCCTAATACATCACTGTGGCCCTAACACCACCTAATACATCACTGTGGCCCTAACACCCCCTAATACATCACTGTGGCCCTAACACCCCCTAATACATCACTGTGGCCCTAACACCACCTAATACATCACTGTGGCCCTAACACCACCTATTACACCACTGTGGCCCTAATACACCACTGTGGCCCTAACACCACCTAATACATCACTGTGGCCCTAACACCCCCTAATACATCACTGTGGCCCTAACACCCCCTAATACATCACTGTGGCCCTAACACCCCCTAATACATCACTGTGGCCCTAACACCACCTATTACACCACTGTGGCCCTAATACACCACTGTGGCCCTAACACCCCCTAATACATCACTGTGGCCCTAATACACCACTGTGGCCCTAACACCACCTAATACATCACTGTGGCCCTAACACCCCCTAATACATCACTGTGGCCCTAACACCCCCTAATACATCACTGTGGCCCTAACACCACCTAATACACCACTGTGGCCCTAACACCACCTAATACACCACTGTGGCCCTAACACCACCTAATACATCACTGTGGCCCTAACACCCCTAATACATCACTGTGGCCCTAACACCACCTAATACACCACTGTGGCCCTAACACCACCTAATACACCACTGTGGCCCTAACACCCCCTAATACACCACTGTGGCCCTAACACCACCTAATACACCACTGTGGCCCTAACACCACCTAATACATCACTGTGGCCCTAACACCCCCTAATACATCACTGTGGCCCTAACACCACCTAATACACCACTGTGGCCCTAACACCACCTAATACACCACTGTGGCCCTAACACCCCCTAATACATCACTGTGGCCCTAACACCACCTATTACACCACTGTGGCCCTAACACCCCCTAATACATCACTGTGGCCCTAATACACCACTGTGGCCCTAACACCCCTAATACATCACTGTGGCCCTAACACCACCTAATACATCACTGTGGCCCTAATACACCACTGTGGCCCTAACACCCCCTAATACATCACTGTGGCCCTAATACACCACTGTGGCCCTAACACCCCCTAATACATCACTGTGGCCCTAACACCCCCTAATACATCACTGTGGCCCTAACACCCCCTAATACATCACTGTGGCCCTAACACCCCCTAATACAACACTGTGGCCCTAACACCCCCTAATACATCACTGTGGCCCTAACACCCCCTAATACAACACTGTGGCCCTAACACCACCTAATACACCACTGTGGCCCTAACACCACCTAATACACCACTGTGGCCCTAACACCACCTAATACACCACTGTGGCCCTAACACCACCTAATACATCACTGTGGCCCTAACACCCCCTAATACATCACTGTGGCCCTAACACCCCCTAATACATCACTGTGGCCCTAACACCCCCTAAAACATCACTGTGGCCCTAACACCCCCTAATACATCACTGTGGCCCTAACACCACCTAATACATCACTGTGGCCCTAACACCCCTAATACATCACTGTGGCCCTAATACATCACTGTGGCCCTAATACATCACTGTGGCCCTAACACCACCTAATACATCACTGTGGCCCTAATACATCACTGTGGCCCTAACACCACCTAATACATCACTGTGGCCCTAATACATCACTGTGGCCCTAATACATCACTGTGGCCCTAATACATCACTGTGGCCCTAATACATCACTGTGGCCCTAATACATCACTGTGGCCCTAACACCACCTAATACATCACTGTGGCCCTAATACATCACTGTGGCCCTAATACATCACTGTGGCCCTAATACATCACTGTGGCCCTAACACCACCTAATACATCACTGTGGCCCTAATACATCACTGTGGCCCTAACACCCCCTAATACATCACTGTGGCCCTAATACATCACTGTGGCCCTAATACATCACTGTGGCCCTAACACCACCTAATACATCACTGTGGCCCTAATACATCACTGTGGCCCTAACACCACCTAATACATCACTGTGGCCCTAACACCACCTAATACATCACTGTGGCCCTAATACACCACTGTGGCCCTAACACCACCTAATACATCACTGTGGCCCTAACACCACCTAATACATCACTGTGGCCCTAACACCACCTAATACATCACTGTGGCCCTAACACCACCTAATACATCACTGTGGCCCTAACACCCCCTAATACATCACTGTGGCCCTAACACCACCTAATACATCACTGTGGCCCTAACACCCCCTAATACAACACTGTGGCCCTAACACCACCTAATACATCACTGTGGCCCTAACACCCCCTAATACACCACTGTGGCCCTAACACCCCCTAATACATCACTGTAGACCTAACACCCCTAATACATCACTGTAGACCTAACACCCCCTAATACATCACTGTAGACCTAACACCCCCTAATACAACACTGTGGCCCTAACACCCCCTAATACATCACTGTGGCCCTAACACCACCTAATACATCACTGTGGCCCTAACACCACCTAATACACCACTGTGGCCCTAACACCCCCTAATACATCACTGTAGACCTAACACCCCTAATACATCACTGTAGACCTAACACCCCCTAATACATCACTGTAGACCTAACACCCCCTTATACAACACTGTGGCCCTAACACCCCCTAATACATCACTGTGGCCCTAACACCACCTAATACACCACTGTGGCCCTAACACCCCCTAATACACCACTGTGGCCCTAACACCACCTAATACATCACTGTGGCCCTAACACCACCTAATACATCACTGTGGCCCTAACACCACCTAATACATCACTGTAGACCTAACACCCCCTAATACACCACTGTGGCCCTAACACCCCCTAATACATCACTGTGGCCCTAACACCACCTAATACACCACTGTAGACCTAACACCCCCTAATACATCACTGTGGCCCTAACACCCCCTAATACATCACTGTAGACCTAACACCCCCTAATACACCACTGTGGCCCTAACACCACCTAATACATCACTGTGGCCCTAACACCACCTAATACATCACTGTAGACCTAACACCACCTAATACACCAGTGTGGCCCTAACACTTCCTAATACATCACTGTGGCCCTAACACCACCTAATACATCACTGTGGCCCTAACACCACCTAATACATCACTGTGGCCCTAACACCCCCTAATACACCAGTGTGGCCCTAACACTTCCTAATACATCACTGTGGCCCTAACACCACCTAATGCATCACTGTGGACCTAACACCACCTAATACACCACTGTGGACCTAACACATCACATCTTTACAATATTAGGAGGCGACCAAGCACAATATTTATGTATACTGTACAGCTCTCAGAGACTATTGGGAGGAAGCAGAGGTGTAGAGGAGCTCTCCTTCTCTCAGACTGTTCTCTTACATACATTTTAGTTAATGAAATCTAAGATTAATTCAAGAGTTCAAAACATGTCTAAAGAAAACATTCACTAGGCGCATTATATTTGTCAATAGATCTGTTGATCACATGTCTTTCCTGACAATAAAAGTGTGGACATTAGCAGCAAGTATTCTGAGACTGTCATGACTGTCTCTGAGTCATCACATATCCATAATCAGTCCTCAATACATGTCTGTGAGCATGGTTTGGTTTGGTGTTAGGCTTAAGTTGCATTCACTGGAAAGGCGAAGAGTTAGGGGTGACATGATAGAGGTTTACAAGTGGGTGAATGGACATAACAGGGGGGGATATTAATAGGGCATTAAAAATATCAACACAAGACAGAACACGAAACAATGGGTATAAATTGGATAAGTTTAGATTTAGGAAAGACTTGGGTAAATACTGGTTCAGTAACAGGGTTGTTGATTTGTGGAACCAATTGCCGCGTAACGTGGTGGATGTGGGGTCCCTCGATTGTTTCAAGCGCGGGTTGGACATGTATATGAGTGGGATTGGGTGGTTATAGAATAGGAGCTGCCTCGTATGGGCCAATAG